AAAACCCTAAAGAGAGGAAAGATTCTGATTTCCAGAGTTACCACAAAAGATTATACATAATTTCTAGTTTTCAAACATTCACTTCACAGCTTGGTCCATACAAAATTTTGGACTGGGATTGGGGCAAGATGGCTGAATAGGAAGAGCTCCAGTCAGCAGCTCCCATTGAGACCAGTGCAGAAGGCAAGTGTTTTCTGCATTTCCAACTGAGGTGCCTGGATCATCTCATTGGGACTGGTTAGGGAGTAGGTGCAGACCATGGAGGGCAAGCAGAAGCAGGGTGGGGCATCACCTCACCTGGGAAGCACAAGAAGTTGAGGAACTTCCTCCCCTAGCCAAGGGAAGCTGTGAGGGACTGCGTCATGAGGGGCAGTGCTATCCAGCCCAGATACTATGCTTTTCCCATGGTCTTCAAAACTCATAGACTAGGAGATTTCCTCAGGTGCCTACACCACCAGGACCTTAGGTTTCAAGCACAAAACTGGGTGGCTGTTTGGGCAGACACCAAGGTACTGCAGGAGTAGTAGTAGTAGTAGTAGCAGTTGTTGTTGTTGTTGTTGTTGTTTGGTACCCCAGTGGTGCCTGGAACCCCAGCAAGACAGAACCATTCACTCCCCTGGAAAGGGGGCTGAAGCCAGGAAGCCAAGTGGTCTTGCTCAGTGGATCCCATCCCCATGGAGCCCAGAAAGCTAAGATCCACTGGCTTGAAATTCTCGCTACCAGCACAGCAGTCTGAAATAGACCTGGGATGCTGGAACTTGATGTGGGGAAGGGTGTCCTCCATTACTGAGGCTTGAGTAGGTGATTTACCCCTCACAGTGTAAACAATGCCTCAGGAAATTCAGACTGAGTGGAGCCCACCACAGCACCACAAGCCCCTGTAGCCAGACTGTCTCTCTAAACTCCACCTCTCTAGGCAGGGCATCTCTGAAAAAAAGGCAGCAGCCTCGGTCGGGGGCTTATAGATAAAACCCCTATCTCCCTGGGACAGAACACCTGGGGAAAGGGTTGGCTGTGGGTGCAGCTTCAGCAGACTTAAACATTCCTTCCTGCCAGCTCTGAAGAGAGCAGCAGATCTCTCAGCACAGTGCTCAAGATCTGTTAAGGGACTGACTGCCTCCTCAAGCTCTGCTAAGGAGACTGCCCCCAAGTCTTGTAACAAGGAGATGCCTCCCAACAGGGGTCAACAAACATCTCATACAGGAAAGTTTCAGATGGCATCTGGTATGTTCCCCTTTGGGATAAAGCTCCAAAGGAATGAACAGGCAGGAATATTTGCTGTTCTGCAGCCTCTGCTGGTAATACCCAGGCAAACAGGGTCTGGAGTGGACCCCCAGCAAACTCTAGCAGACCTACAGAAGAGGGGCCTGTTAGAAGAAAAACTAACAAACAGAAAGCAATAGCATCAACATCAACAAAGATGATGACCACGCAAAAATGCCATCTGAAGGTTACCAACATCAAAGACCAAAGGTAGATAAATCCACAAAGATGAGGAAAAACCAGTGCGAAAAGGCTGAAAATTCAAAAAACCAGAATGCCTCTTCTTTTCCAAAGGATCATAACTCTCGCAAACAAGGGAACAAAACTGGACAGAGAATGAGTTTGACAAATTGAGAGAAGTAGGCTTCAGAAGGTGGGTAATAACAAACTACTCCAAGCTAAAAGAGGATGTTCTAACCCAATGCAATGAAGCTAAAAACCTTGATAAAAGGTTAGAGGAATTTCTAACTAGAATAACCAGTTTAGAAAGGAAGATAAATGATCTGATGGGGCTGTAAAACATAGCACAAGAACTTTGTGAAGCATACACAAGTATCCATAGCTGAATCAATCAAGCAGAAGAAAGGATATCAGAGATTCAAGATCAATTTAATGAAATAAAGTGTGAAGATGAGATTAGAGAAAATAGAATGAAAGGAGGGAACAAAGCCTCCAAGAAATATAGGACTATGTGAAAAGACCAAGCCTACATTGGATTGGCATACCTGAAAGTCACGTGGAGAATTAAGCCAAGTTGGAAAACACTCTTTAGGATATTATCCAGAACTTCCCCAACCTAGCAAGACATGCCAACATTCAAATTCAGGAAATACAGAGAACACCACAAAAATACTCCTCAAGAAGAGCAACCCCAAGACACATAATTGTCAGATTCACCAGGGTTGAAATGAAGGAAAAAATGTTAAGGGCCATCAGAGAGAAAGGTCAGGTTATCCACAAAGGAAAGCCCATCAGACTAACAGTGGATGTCTCTGCAGATACCCTACAAGCCAGAAGACAGTGGGGGACAATATTCGGCATTCTTGAAGAAAAGAGTTTTCAACCCAGAATTTCATATCCAGCTAAAATAAGCTTCATAAGCTTCACCACCAGGCCTGCCTTATAAGCGTTCCTGAAGAAAGCACTAAATATGGAAAGAAAAAACTGGAACCAGCCACTGCAAAAACATACCAAATTGTAAAGGCCATCAACACTCTGAAGAAACTGAATCAACTAATGGGCAAAATAACCAGCTAGCATCATAATGACAGGATCAAATTCACACAAAACAATATTAACCTTAAATGTAAATGGGCTAAATGCCCCAATCAAAAGACACAGACTGGCAAATTGGATAGAGTCAAGACCCACTGGTGTGCTGTATTCAGGAAACCCATCTCACGTGCAAAGACATATATAGGCTCAAAATAAAAGGATGGAAGAAGATTTGCCAAGCAAGTGGAAAGAAAAAAAAAAAAAGAAGGGGTTGCAATCCTAGTCTATGATAAAACAGACTATAAACAAACAAAGGTCAAAAAGGGAAAAGAATGACATTACATAATGGTAAAGGGATCAACATAATGGTAAAGGGATCAATGCAACAAGAAGAACTAACCATCTTAAATATATATGCACCCAATATAGGAGCACCCAGATTCATAAAGACAGAGACCTACAAAGAGACTTAGACTACCACACAATAACAGTGGAAGACTTTAAAACCCCACTGTCAATAATAGACAGATCAACAAGACAGAAAATTAACAAGGATATTTAGAACTTGAACTCAGTTCTGGACCAAGTGGACCTAATGACATCTATAGAATTCTCTACCCCAAGTCAACAGAATATATATTCTTCTCAGCATCACATCACACTTATTCTAAAATTGACTACATAACTGAATGTAAAACACTCCTCAGTAAATGCAAAAGAATGGAAATCATAAAAAAGTCTCTCAGACCACAGTACAATCAAATTAGAACTAAGGATTAAGAAACGCACTCAAAACTGCACAACTACATGGAAACCAAACAATGTGCTCCTGAATGACTACTGGGCAAATAACATAATTAAGGCAGAAATAAATAAGTTCTTTGAAACCAATGAGAACAAGGACACAACATACCAGATTCTCTAGGACACAGCTAAAGCAGTGTTTAAAGGAAAATTTACAGCACCAAATGCCCACAAAAGAAAGTGGGAAAGATCTAAAATCGACACCCTAACTTCACAATTAAAAGAACTAGAGAAGCAAGAGCAAACAATTTCAAAAGCTAGCAGAAGACAAGAAATAACTAAGACCAGAGCAGAACTGAAGAAGATAAGAGACACGAAAAACCCTTCAAAAAAAATCAATAAATCCAGGAAGAATCAGTATCATGAAATGGCCATACTGCCCAAAGTAATTTACAGATTCAATGCTATTCCCATCAAGCTGCCATTAACTTTTTTCACAGAATTAGAAAAACCTACTTTAAATTTCATATGGAACCAAAAAGGAGCCCATATAGCCAAGACAAGCCTAAGCAAAAAGAACAAAGCTGGAGGCATCATGCTACCTGACTTCAAACTATACTACAAGGCTACAGTAACCAAAACAGCATGGTATTGGTACCAAAACAGATATATAGGCCAACAGAACAGAACAGAGGCCTCAAAAATAATGCACCACATCTACAACCATCTGATCTTTGAAAAATCTGACAAAAACAAGCAATGGGGAAAGGATACTCTATTTCATAAATGGTGTTGGGAAAACTGGCTAGCCATTTGCAGAAAACTGAAACTGGACCCCTTCCTTACACCTTATTAAAAAATTACCTCAAGATGGATTAAACATTTAAATGTAAGACCTAAAACCATATAAACCCTAGAAGAAAACCTAGGCAATACTATTCAGGACATAGGCATGGGCAAAGACTTCATGACTAAAACACCAAAACAATTGCAACAAAAACCAAAATTGACAAATGGGATCTAGTTAAACTAAACAGCTTCTGCACCGCAAAAGAAACTATCATCAGAGTGAACAGACAACTTACAGAATGGGAGAAAATTTTTACAATCTCTCCATCTGATAAAGGGCTAATATCCAGAATGTAAAAAGAACTTAAACAAATTTACAAGAAAAAGAAACCCCATCGAAAAGTGGGCAAAGGATATGAACAGACACTTCTCAAAAGAAGACATTTATGTGGCCAAGAAACATATGAAAAAAAGCACATTGCTGATCATTACAGAAATGCAAATTGAAACCACAATGAGATACCCTCTCATACCAGTTAGAATGCTGATCCTTAAAAAGTCAGAAAACAACAGATGCTGAAGAGGATGTGGAGAAACAGGAAGGTTTTTTTTTTTTTTTATGGTTATTACTTTTATAAACCATCTGATCCATGGCAAAACTAACTGGTACCATACAAAGATGTTTGTCTACTGTCATGTTTAGGTTTGGTTTCTATTGTACATTTGTTAACAAATACATTTAAATCTAGAAACATTTGTGATACAATTAGTGCACGGTAATACATGGCATATACATCGCTTAAGCTGGTAATAAGGGGTCAGGTGTTCTACAACCTTCAAGCACAGGCACAGATTTGCATTTTATGCAAAAATTCAGGTTTTACTCAGTTTTTACATTGGTGGAAGCTGATGTCATTAACTTATAGGCAAGCAAATACTTTTGTTTTCCGATTCTTAGGTGAACAGAAATACAATAGTGTAGCCTTTTAATTGGGCAAGACTTGCTTTTTATGTTTCACAAGACAATGCACTATAACCCTTCCTTGAACAAGATGACCATTTGCAGTTGTGTTTAATAAGCATATTTTATTTAAATAAATCCTCCAGTAGGAAATGGAGAATTTACTGCCTTTACTTAGAAGGCTATGTAAATAGCTATTTGTCAAATTTATATACGCAGCTCACCAATACTCCCTTATTGGGAACATCAGTATTCCCACATCACATCACAGTTCCCAAAAAGGCCTTTAAAGTCTCAAAATTCTGTATCTCCTTTGGCTTGCTTCTCTCTCGATTCCACCCAGGCTTTATTAATGGTTCGCTTCATATCATCATCTCCATCCTCATATATTTTCTTTAGAACATTCATCAATCCCTCACTAGGATCTGTTTCAGTGTCATAGGAGGGCTTCTCTTTTTCTTTGCACTCTTTTTCAACCTGAGTCAAGTAATCCCACCTTGTGTTTTCCACTTTCTTTCTACATAAGATCAGAACTGTGTCAGTCTTGACTTTTTTGGAACTGCCTTCCACTGAGATGGGTTTCAAGAGATTGTTCACAATCATGGAGTAACTCTTCCCATTTAGATTCTTTACCAAAAGATCAAATGACCTCTCTGTGAAATGCACCTGCACATTCTCAGTGGGAACTTGATGAACTCCAGTTAAGGTAACGTAGATTTTCACAAACTTATCTGACTGATCCCATCCGTAATTACTGATTTTCACTGTATAGCCTGTTGTAATGGGAGCAACCACAGCAGCTGGCTTTTCACTGTCAAGAAGCTCTGCTTTCTTCTGTGATTTCTGTTGCATCTTGTTCTTGATTTCTGTCTCAATCTTGGATTTTTCAGCTGTAAGGGCATCTCGTATTCTTTTCCTAGTAGCCTTTTCCAGCAACACCTTTACCTCTTCTAGGTCTTTCTGTAGCTCTTCCGAAGCCATGGTGGCTGGGTCAGGCCCAAGGCCCGAGCTGCAGCCGCGCAGAGGAGGGCGAAACAGGAAGGTTTTTACACTGTTGGTAGGAGTGTAAATTAGTGCAACCGGCCGGGCGTGGTGGCTCAAGCCTGTAATCCCAGCACTTTGGAAGGCCGAGGCGGGCGGATCATGAGGTCAAGAGATCGAGACCATCCTGGTCAACATGGTGAAACCCCGTCTCTACTAAAAATACTAAAAATTAGCTGGGCATGGTGGCGTGTGCCTGTAATCCCAGCTACTCAGGAGGCTGACGTAGGAGAATTGCCTGAACCCAGGAGGCGAAGGTTGCGGTGAGCCGAGATCGCGCCATTGCACTCCAGCTTGGGTAACAAGAGCAAAACTCCGTCTCAAAAAAAAAAAAAAAAAAAAATTAGTGCAACCATTGTGAAAGACAGTGTGGCAATTCCTCAAGGATCTAAAACCAGAAATACCATTTGACCCAGCAATCCCATTACTGGGCATATACCCAAAAGATTACAAATCATTCTGCTATAAAGAAACATGCACACATATGCTTATTGCAGCACTATTCACAATAGTGGAACCAACCCCAATGCCCACCAATGTTAGACTGGATAAAGAAAATGTGGCACATATACACCATGGGATACTATGCAGCCATAAAAAAGAATGAGTTCATGTCCTTTGCAGAGACATGGATGAAGCTGGAAATCATCATTCTCAGCAAGCTAACAGGAACAGAAAATCAAACACCATATGGTCTCACTCATAAGTGGGAGTCGAATAATGAGAACACATGGACACAGGGAGGGGAACATCATACACTACGGCCTGCCAGGGGGTTGGGGGCAAGAAAAGGGACAGCATTAGGAGAAATACCTAATGTAGTTGATTGGTGTAGCAAACCACCATAGCACATGTATCCTTATGTAACAAACCTGCATGTTATGCACATGTATTCCACAACTTAAAGTATAATTTAAAAAACTAAAAAATAATTTGGACTGTCTGATAAAATAACATAAATTATATCTCAGGAATAGAAGCTCTTGATCTCACCTGGATCCATGGGGAGCTCAGAAGCCTGAGGTTTTCATTGAACTTTTCCATCAAGTTAAGAAATCTCTGATCTTTATAATCAAATCGCTTCTGGAAAACAACAGAGCAGATCACATTGCAGGGAGCACAGCCCAGGATGAAAGTGGGATCACAGGGTGAGGCTAAAGGATTGGAAATATTTTAAATTACCATTAAAAAGAACATATAAAACACTTTGTCTCTAGTAACAGAAAAAGGTAATTTTAGAAACTCTAAAGCAGTATCTACCTAGATATTCTCTTATCAACAGAAACTACAGCATATTTAAATTTAATACATCACTTTTCCCTTAAAACTGAATTAATCATTCCATCCTAGCTTTTTTAATAATGATTTTTCAAATACTGCATTTAATTCACTGCCTTTTTTTTTTTTTTTACACAATTCTGACCCAAGATGCCTGTTATTTTGAAGAGAAAAAGAAAAAATTTGAAGAGGCCACATTTAAAAGCACCTAATAATTCAAGTTTTCAGTGCAAAATAACATCTATCTGGAAAGCTTATAAACAATTAATTGATATAGGAAGGGAGAAAATAGGAACCTGAAAACCTCTTATATATAATGAATATTTACAGGAACTGTGTGTAGAACCAGCAGAGGGGGAGACTAAAGAAAGAAAGGGTATGGGGAAGTTCAGGTTGATGGAACAAATGTAAAAAAGCAAAAGCCATCTATGTTATACAAGATAAAAACTAACACAAATAAGAAGATTGATTGGTTTGCCTAAAATTAAAGTAAATAAGAAACTTTCATTTCAAACTTAAATTACAGATAGGGCAGATAGAAGAAGTTAAAATGATAAATGGACTCCTTTTATCTCCTTATTTCAATATTGAAAGAAAAAAAAAAAGAGTTTTCTACTCTAAATAGTGGTGTCTATTATCACCAGGCCCTATCTTCAATTTATTTGAGCAAAGCCTGACCTCTTATAGAATCCTAGGTTATTGTTCTATCTAGCAATCAAAAAAATACCTTATGTCATTATAAATTTGATCATCATTTAGGTAATTCCATCATTTTACAAATAAATAAATTAATATAGAGAAAATTGGTTATTTGTGAGAGTTTTTAAATAAAATTGTTGTAACCAAATCATCAATAAACTTTACATTTGAGAGTATTATAAATGTAATTAAGAGTGACTTGAACAAAAATACTGTGCGGTAATGATGGGAAATTAAATAATAGGACCCTGTTTATTTAACTGCTCCTATGCCAGGCTTCTTTTCAGCTGAAACATGCCAGGACACTAAGCTTTCAGAAATTCTTTTATTCTAGCCTGGAAGGCAGGGGATAATTTGAGATTATCAGTTTGAGATTTCTCTCTCTCTCTCTCTCTGTGTGTGTGTGTGTGTGTGTGTGTGTGTGTGTGTGTGTGCACATCCACAAGATACTTATAGTGAAAATCTGGTTTCCGATCTTTCCTTTCACTTCACTTGGGGTAGTGTGTTAGGTCGTTCTTGCATTGCTATTAAAAAATACCTGAGACTAAGTAATTTATAAGAAAAGAGGTTTAGTTGGCTCACAGTTCTGCAGGCTGTACAGGAAGCATGATGGGGGCATCTGGGGAGGTTCTGGAAGCTTACAAGCATAGTGGAAGGCAAAGCAGGAGTTTGCACTCATGTGGCAAAAGCTGAAGCAAAAGAGGGAGGTGAGAGGTGCTACACACTTTTAAACAACCAGATTTCACGAGAACTCACTCACAATCATGAGGACAGTACCAAGAGGAATGGTGCTAAACTAATCCAAGCTGAAAATCAGACTCGCTGTGACAAGTACTTTATTGGTGAATCCAACTGGGATGGGGAGAGGAAAAATAAACTTTTAATCCCAAATCCAATTGTTTTAAAATTCATTGAGGATTTTGTTTCTATTTAGATATGGTGAGGTCAACAGATCAGGTTGCCCTGAAACAGACTGCCCTTGAAAAGATAGTTCATTGCTCACAGTTCCTAGAGGAGGGACACTCCACACCATGTTGAGGATGTAGGGGGGCAGGTAGGTGGGAGACCCCACAAGTGCTGAGGCAAGGGTCTGAAGCCTCAGCCTCTTTCCATATAAATAATGAAATAGAAAAAAAATTACAAATATAATCACATAATTATTCATAAACCATCATAGATATAGATACCTAGATATAGATACTCAGTATAACCTTTTAATTTTGCTAATGTTTCTCAAGTTGCAAAGTGTGCACCTAAGGTGACATTGTGAAAAGAAGTGACCCTAAGGCAAGATGCTCTAAGCTGTCTGTCATGCCCATGTAATGGCTGCTGGAGGGCACCTTGGCTATGCAGCAGTGCCAGCACTGGGAAAGTGCCCACTGATTAGCAAGCTATGGAAGGAGATGTCCGAGATGTCTCCTTCCTCTGAGGAGTTAAGAGAAAACTCTGCTCCCCCAAGCTCTTGTAGTAGGCCTGATGGCTATCAGGGAAGCCCACAGACATCTGGGGCTTAATTGTCTCTATGTGATGCTATGCTTCAGCGTTCACATTCCATGTCTACTTTCATGTTCCGCTTCTGCACCTGGTTCCTCTTTCTCTTGGAAGATAGAATCAGTAAAAATAACATAAATCTTAATGTCTTTGTAATTTCTTGACAAGTATGAAAAAAGTGCCGATGCTTTATGCTCCTTCCCTCGCCTCAGCTACTTGAAAGTCCTGGGCATTTATCTCCAAGACACATGATTTACTTGACTCTATCACTGACCACCAGTGGCTTGCCCTAACTACCCTGCTTTGTACTCAATAAAAGTCAGAGTGTCCAGACACTTGAGGCCACTGCCAGACTCTGTGCTTTGGTTGGCAGTGGACCCCTGGGCCCAAACCCTCTTTCTCTTGATCTCTGTGTCTTGTGTCTTTATTTCCACAGTTTCTCCTCTCCGCACAAGTAGAGAGGAGCTCACAGGACCCTAAAGGGCTGGATCCTATAGGGGCAGCCACACGGGAAGTACCAGTCTTGGTCAGGAGACAGCAAGAGCAAAAAGAACCCATGAGGCTGAGCCTTCAATGGGGTTTTCACAGGAAGAAATGAGTAAGATAGGGTGGGTAGACTGAGTAAGTCTGGGAATAGAGTTCAAACAGTTTCTGTGGGCTCTGAGATACAGCAGTGGGCCATAGTTGTCCCATACTAGTCATGTAATGATTTAGGACAAGGAGAATACAGTCAGCAGTCTGTATCCATGGTGTATCATGAATTCAACTAACCCCAAATGAAAAATATTCAGAACAAAAAAAAGCAACTGTATAGAACATGTACAGACATTTTTCTTGATGACATTCTCTAATATTGTCAAATATTATAAATAATATTGTCAATATTCTCTAATACGTGGCAAATATTATGCCATTTACAAGGGACTTGAGCATATGTGGATTTTAGTATCCAAGAGGAGTCCTAGAACCAATGACTTACTTATAAGGAGGGACAACTATATTGCATTCATGTATAAGAGTTTGATAAAGAAGGTGGATGGGGCTCTGGGCTCTGGAGAGTTTGCTTTGTAAATCAAAGACATACTGTGGACAAGATATTTGCTATCTTTAGGAACTGTCTGACTTTGGGAGGGACAGTCCCTTCCAGGACCACAAAGTCCCCAAGATGTCAAAGCATCATAAAAACATAGAAAATAAAAAAACATGACTAATACACAAAGACTAAGGAAAACATTTAAAAAGCTGAACACAGAGCTAATTTACAACTAGGGAGGGTAGGATAAAGATTTATTAATAATAGTTAAAATTTACTTAAATAAACATTTTAGGCCGGGCACGGAGGCTCATTCCTGTAATCCCAGCATTTTGGGAGGCTGAGGGGTGGATCACGAGGTCAGGAGTTTGAGACTAGCCTGGCCAAGATGGTGAAACCCCATCTCTGTTAAAAATACAATAATTAGCTGGGAGTGGTGGCGGGCACCTGTAATTCTAGCTACTCAGGAGGCTGAGGCAGGATTATTGCTTGACTTCAGGAGGC